GAAAGACAACAGGGATAGGTACCTGCCACACCGGCAGAGTTAAGTAGCCTAGATACCAACGCCCCTTAAGATATAATAATAAAGTGTTAAGTCGCTACCTGTAAACTACGGGAGGAGTGGTCAAGGAGCTATGACTATATGCCAGGGAGTGGTGCCCACAATTGAAAGGAAAGAAAATAGATGGTGGCAGCTTTTACCAAAAAGGAAACCCCGAACAGGAGAATCCTAGCTAAGGGTGAGCTAGGATGGTTGTGTTAACTCCTTACAGAGCAGTGACGGTGGAGGCAAGGAAGGATACCTCCACGGCCCCCTACTTGCGGCGTAACAGTGGTGGCAGAGGAGGCTGACTCCACGCCCCCCTGCACCACGGCATTACAGTGGCGGCAGCGGGTGGGATACCTCCATGCCCCCCTACGCCGCCAGGGCATTACATATACATACTTACCTACTTACGCATGGAGCCCTTCTGGAGGAGCTGCCAATTCTGCAGCTTCTCAAGAATTTCCCAGCATTTTATGGAACCCGAAGGTTCATTATCGTGTTCACAAGAGCCCTCCACTGGTCCCTATCCTGAGCCAGATCTATCCAATCCATACCATCCCATACTATCTCTCTAAGATCCTTTCTAATATTGTCCACCCACCTATGCCTTGGTCTTCCCTGTGGTCTCTTTCCTTCCGGCTTTCCCACCAATATCCTATACGCATTCCTCGTCTCCCCCATTTGTGCTACATGACCTGCCCACCTCATCCTCCTTGACTTGATCATTCTCATTATGCTTGGGGAAGAGTACAAGTTATGAAGCTCCTCATTATGCATACATACAGCGAACATATTGATGATGCAGGTATCCTCCAACTACATGATTTTTATTGGAATAAATTTCACATTAATGTGACTATTATCAGTTGTTTTCCATGCACAAGAAATGAATCTAGACAAATTTCTGGGTAACCAATCTGTGTTTATAACATATTGCTATGGAAAAAAGTTGAGTTCCACAACCATTCTTGGATGTGCAACTGTCGTGTAAGTCAAGGGGAAGGGAACTATGTAACCTGTACATTAATAAGCTAATAGTAAAATTAATATGAAAGAGATAAGTTATAAGACATGAACTGGCTAGATTAGCTCAAGGTAGAGTTCAACAGCAAATTGCTATGATCATGGCAATAGACACTCAGGTTGTATACATTTTTGGATTTCTTGATTAGCTGATTTCAAGGCAGATTTTGAACCTTGGAGTTGTTATAATTTAAATGAATTATTATGTTGTCTGTCACGTGTTGGGTATGTCACGCAAAGCAAATGGAAAAACTGCCAGATTATCACTGGATAATTATCCTGGATAGTCTCTTTCCAAAAACAGAAGATCGCATTATATGGAGGAACTGTTTTGGAAGAGACTGTGGAAGTGTCATCTGACAGATTACTGATGAATGAATTATGTTGTCTAAAATGNATGAATTATGTTGTCTGAAATGGAATTAATTATATTTTTTTGTCACAATTTGTTTTCTGTTTTCTCTCATAGGATTTATGTAAGTACATGCGTGGAGAACTGAAGCCCGACTCGGAACTTCAAACTATCCAGAGCATTGTAGGTTATGGTATAGAGCGTGAAGAGTTACGTGATGAGATCTTTGTGCAGTGTATGCGCCAGGCGACCAACAATCCAAATCCTGACTCTACAGAGAGAGTTTGGCTTCTACTGTGCCTCTGCATAGTTGCCTTCCAACCAAGCAAACTGTTGTATAAAGTAAGTTATTTCTGTCCTTTATTATCTGATATTTTCAAATCACTCCCTGCAAACAGCAGCTAGCATTGTTTTCTATCACTCAGGATAAACTCTTGAAGTAGCCGTAACAGATAAGATGCACATTTGTTTTTCATGGATGCCCACACAGATGGGCTATGCAGTAGCGTAGTTGGTTGAGGCACTGTGCTACAAACCGGAAGGTCCTGGGTTCAGTTCTCGATGAGGTTATTGCATTTCTTCAATTTACCTAATCCTTCCAGCTGCACTGTAACCCTGGGGTTGACTCAGTCTCTAACAGAAATTAGTACCAGGAAATTTCCTGGCCAGCGTGCGGCCAGCACGTAAGGCTAACAACCTTACTATCATCTGTGAGCCTCGACGTCTCACCACCTTATGGGCCTTCATGGACAGTTACAAAAATATCTTTGCCTTTTTCCTTTGCCCATACAAATAGGTTATCTGACCTTAGCTGCCAATGTCACTGAAAATTATTGTGTCCTGGGATGTGATGTGTCTCCATCTGTATGGTAGTTCATCTGTTCTGAAGATGGATGGAGTGGGTTTCTGTAAAATGCTGGTAGATATCTATGAGACTGCATGGCATCACATCCCAGAAAATGGCAAACTTGATCATCACTGCAAGTTACCTAAAATTTCACATATTGTCATCAGACTCAACTTTTGAGAACAGAACAAATTGTGGCATCTCGATGCATTGTCTTGTCTCATATTTGAGAGATTCATTGTCATCTTCCAAAATCTGTCAACTGTGAATTTTTATCCCTGTCATAAGTTAAGGTACAAAGGCAAAGTGATACGCACCATGGGAACAAACTAACACAACGTAATATACAGTGAATTGTATTGATTTGGTAAATATGTGGAGTTGTATAACTTAAAACACATAAAATATGGTAATATTTTATATTTTGGTATATTTATAGGAATAATATTATTAGGACAGTTGAATAAAGAGCTATCCATCAGGCTAGATGTATAGCACAGGTGGAGGAAGTAAGAACTATGTCAAACTCTGGAAGGAAATATAACTTATGGATAATTTTTAAAGTAGTGAGGGTTGAAATGAAGCAGTTTAAGATGGGATTTACTTGGTGGATTCTGTGTTGACAGTGCTGAACATTTGGGTTCTGTTACTCCAGCTATTTAGTTTACTGCTGTTTGAAATAACCTCAAATTTTCTTAAGGGTACCATAAAAATAATAATTAAATTTGAAATGAAGTAAGAAGAAAACTATTGTATATAAACAACAGTATTGTTCAACAGCATTTTGTACAACCCAACACAGTAACGAAGCATGCCATTCATCTATCTTGTATGTGTGCTTGCAGTACTTTGTATGCTTCCTGCGGAAGAGCTTACAACTAGAGGGAAAGTTACGGCAATATGTTCAGTGGTGTGCAGATAACTGCAAGAATACAAAGGTGTCATGCAGGCAGTATCCTCCTTCTACAGTAGAGATTGCGGTAAGGAATAGTGCTCTCAGCGAAGTGAACTTCCAGCATTTATTACTAATCACATCACAGAACATATAAACAGCTGTTCATGTTATCACCACAAAACATATTACTGGAACTTTGTATGCATTCACTTTGGTTCTTTTTAATTTGTTGTGTGACACTATCAGGCATTACGAATATACTGAGTGTCCCAGGAGCAAAGGCCAATATTTGGGGAGGTCATAGTGTCGGCCATTCCTAGCAGAAAATTGTATATATACATGTGTCCTATTCCAAATGGTTTCTGAGACAGAGGTGTTTCACTGTACAGATGAGCAACATACCATGTCCTCACAAGAGTCGCAAAGTGCATTGATGTAGACCGTGGAATTTTTGAAACTGTATTATGCTAGGTAAACTATACCTAGTTAGTTAGTTATTGGAGAGGGTGGGTTTCCCCATGCACTTAGACCAGTATTGGTACCATCAGTCCCGACCGAGCCAGCGAGTTCGGCCTCCACTAGCTTAGCGGTATCTATAATGCTTCCCCCATCTATCAGAGGTGTTAGAGGCTATTTGTTGGGTGGGAAACATCCTTGAATTTGGATCAGTGATCTCCTTAGGAGATATGAGGTTCTTTTACGTGCCGCAAAGCTACAACACGGGACCCATGGCTTAAAGTCCCTCCCAGAGGACTTGTTCCCTGAATTTTTCCGCCCTTAAAAATTCAACGTTTGAACCCGCGTACCACGAGTCATGAGGTGGGAACGTTACCTCTAGACTACGGAGGCCGCTAAACTATACCTAACTTTGTCACTTGAACAATGAATACCGATATTAGAAACAGTACGTAATTTTTTTTATTACTAGTGGGGTGGGACTAAGTCCCTTGTACTGCGGCCACTTCTGGCCTGTTGTACCAGCCCAAGATGATAGGTGAGGGTGATTGTGGAGCAATTGGTGGAATGAAGATTGGCAGGGGAAACAAAAGTGCTCAGAGAAAACTTGCCCTAGCGCCACTTTTTCCACCACAGATCCCACTTGACCAGACCCGGGATCAAACCCGGGCTGCCACGGTGGGAAGCCAGCGACTAACTGCTTGAGCTATGGCACAGCTCAGCAGTGTGTAATATCTCTTTGTTGTCAACAATTTTGGAATTGTACATTGAAATAGCTTTCTCTTGGAAACTGTTCTGAATAGGACACCTGTACATATACAATTTTTTGCATAGAATGAATGATAGTATGACCTCCCAGAATATGACCTTTCCTCCTGGTACAATCTGTATATCATCTGTGATAGGATGATTAATGAATGTTGGTGGGAAGTCCAGACATCCAGCTATGAATGTTAATAAACTCAGACTTTGCCTTTGGCTTATAACTTTCAACTAGACTTCAAACATTTTTTTAATTTCTTTCACAAATTCTGGAATAATGCTCATTCTGTGTAACATAAATATAAAAGATGTTTCTTGATTACAAGGAAGGTCCCTTGAAAGTGATAACCAAAGTCATTTTAGGTTTCCACAGCTGTTTCTCAAAATGGCTCGCTGTACAGAGAGATATGTATGAAATAATATCCTTGTATCATTGACTTCTGCAAATCATCCAAAAGTATTTAAATATTGTTAGTTCTGAATTGTGGTCAAACTGGAAGTTAAAAAAATGTATATGGAATTATATGCAAGTAAATGTGGGAACATATGATGTCTTTGTATTTGTAAATGTAGGTTAGAAGTTGTATATTTTTACTTCTGAATTTCTTTATTCAAGGGCTGCTGTGTAAAGTACAGTTCAGGAATTTTCTGCCTTGGATTAAAGACAATATTAGTGATTTTATAGTAAGACTATTAATACAGTATAAGTAAGTGATGTGTTTTAGTTAATGGATCTGTCTTTGTCTACAGGCAATGCGGCGTTTAGGTACTATTGTATGCAGGTTTTTCTTCCTTGATGGGCGTACAAAAGCAATAGATGTTCACCCAACAGACACAGCTGCCGATGCAGCCACTAAATTGGCAGAAAAGCTTGGTCTTCGAAATCTGGAGGGTTGGGCCATATACCAGAGCCGACCGGATGGGGAGGAGCATGTTCGAGCACATGACTACCTTTATGATGTCATTGCAGCATGGGAAATGTGAGTGGACATTGAATTATTATTATTATTATTATTATTATTATTATTGGAGGGGGTGGGTTTCCCCATGCACCGCGACTAGTCTATTGTACGTCCCCCTTTAATTTCTACTGTCCCCATACCCTACCAGTACTGGTGCTTTGCTATCAGCCCCACTTTGCCAGCGAGGTCGGCCCTCTTCTGGCACGTGGTACCTGATGCTTCCCCCAGAGGCAGAGGCATTGGAAACTACTTGGGCGGGAAATGTTTGCCTAATTTTGCTGAGAGGTCTCCTAGAGACATGAGGATCTTTTATGTTCCGTAAATCTATGACACGGGACCCACGGCTTAAAGTCCCTCCCAGAGGACTTGTTCCCTGAATTTTTCCGCCCTTAAAAATTCCACGACCTCCGCCGGGTTTGAACCCGCGTATCTTGAGTCATGACGTGGGAATGTTACCCCTAGACTATGGAGGCTGCTGGACATTGAATTAGTAATGATGATTCTAATAAGTATATTATTAAGTGTTTTGAGGTCAGATTTCTCCTACACAGATATTTAGAGCATCTTATGAAACAAAAAATCAAAAGTGGGTATAATTTTTTCATATCTTTTGTACGTTAAGAACAAACGGTTACAGATTCATATATAAATAGTACCTCATATATTGACATCATAGGAGCTGTAGACAACATAGACAACACAGACTTTCAGCAAATAGTTTAAAATGTAGGTGGAGGATGACAGAATCTGTGGTAAATATTTTGTAGAATGTTCCATGGGACATGTACAAGATATTTTTGCATCCCTATCAACAGTTCATTTCCCAGTAGTATGACACACATTGTGCCAGATGTGGACATGTACGTTATAGCCATGAGAGGGTCAAGACCGTGGTAGTGGGCATTCATACAGTTATTTTACACAAATTGTAAAAAATGGTTAACTTTGGTTTGAAAGGTTATGGCAGTAATCATTTTCAGACTTGTTTTAGAGAGTTATAAGTGCTTACTATATGACTTACAGGCATGCCTGTAGCAAGAAGGGAAGTATTGTTCACTCTGTCCTAGAGATATTCAGGTTATGGAATTTCACCCTCATGGAAATTATGAAACATGATTGTAAAATTTACAGTATGGACCATAAATTTGGTTTTGCATGAATTAAGAATAAAGTTTAATTATTTTTAAATACAAAATCTAAAGAAACAACAAACTGAGTCCACATTTCTAACTTTTAAGAACTATTATTTGTCAGGAAATTAAGATTGCATATGCACATGCATTGGTTTTGCAGCAGGAAATAGAAGCAAAATGGCACCCCTTCCAGTTTCAAGGACCACTTATAAGTGTTTAATAACAACTGCTGACCTATTTTACCTTGGTTTTTTCTATATTATGAAAATTGTATTTGTTGAAAATTCTCACTTTCTGCGTTATTTATGTGAGATATAATGTAAAACTCATCCTTTACAATAGGAAACAATGTAAACTGGCCACCACCAATACGTCTGCGTTTTCATCGTTGAGTCGGCGCGGCAACAGTGCAACCTTGGGTAGTGGGGAGAACAGATTTGTGTTCAAGCGACGACTGTTCCGAACAACCCGAGAACTTTCTCAGGACCCAGTGGAAGTGAATATGCTCTATGCACAGGCTGTGTACAGTGTTGTTAAGGTGGGTGTACTGCATCACTTATATACTGACATAATTTTTATATTGGAATTATCAATTCCAATTACCGTATTTACGCATGTAAAGGCCGCACATTTTTTGCCAAAAATTCAAGAGGAAAACTGGGGTGCGGCTTATATTCGAAATATTCGAAATCACACTTCATTTAAAAAAAATTTCCTCAATAATAATTTCGGAATAAATTCTGAAATAATTTCTACTCCTGAAATAATATTCCAAGAAAATTATTTTTTCTATAATTTCTGTCTGAAAATTATGCTGCGGCCTATACATGTGTAAATACGGTATTATTGGAAGTATCAGTCATGATGTGTCAGTCAGGGAAATGAGAGAGAATTGAGTGGGCACATGAAATTTGGTTCCTGAACGGAGTGTTGAATTCTTCTTCACACCAGCATCTTCCTGTATCCCTTTCAGATGTAAGATGCCGGGCTGAAGTATTTTCTTTGTCTTCATTATAATCCTCTTCTTTTTCCTTCTTCTTAATATCTTTTCATCTTCCAACTTTGCCCCCAAAAATCTCCTTTCTTCTGCAACTCCTCTTTATCATTCTTTCTTTTTCCCCCTCTCCTTTTTTATTCTTGTCTCCTCCTCCTCCTCAGAATTCGTTCCTCATCTCATCTTCCTCCTCATAATTCTCTCCTCTTTATCTTGTCCTCCTCTCCTCCTTATCCTCTCCTTGTCCTCTTCCTAGTCCTCTTCTCCTTTCCTTTTTCTCCTATTTATCCCTTCCATCTCCTCTTCTTCCTTCTTTTCAATATTCTTACCCACACATCTGTGCATTCAGGATCTGAAAGGGACACAGAAAATGCTAGGGACTGAAAATAATCATACTTCACAGTTCAATTTATTGCCAAGGTTAAGTACATGAATTTTAAGGTTCTCACAGCAGTGACTATGTCGACCACTACTTCTGTGATGTGACACCATGTTGTTTGGTATATAAGTGCCAAAGCATCAGAGAAACCTACTGCCTCCATCTTCATGATGGATGAGATGGAAGTAGCAGCTTCATCCGAAATATCGGTATCTCTCTGCCTAACATCATGGTGTCACATCCCAGATGACGACAGTCTTCAAAGGCAAGAATGTATGAAGCCTAACTTATACATTCCTAATGCTTCTTGGCCCATTGCTTGATCACAGAGACAACTATCACCTTTTTCTTGCTCCATGTAGGGGAACTGTTAGCATACATCTTTCCATTCTTGTGTTAGTGATGAATCTGATCACTTTGTAAACTTTGCCATCATTAACATCTCTTTATATTTCCAGAGTGACTGCTTTAACATAAAACATTTCCATCATTTTCCATCCTGCCCTAAGCTCTCCTTATATATATATATTAGAAACTCTGTGGTCCAAGTCTGTAAGAGAAATATACTGACTGCAACTGCTATTCTTTGGCAAAGTTAGTGCGAATTTTTATGGATAGAGGGTGTCACATGGTCAGCGCAACAGATTCCTATGGCCGTTAATCTCGGTTTTATAGACCAGAACCGCTATTTCCTTGAAATAGCTCCTCAATTATCCTCATGAGGCTGAGTGGACCCCATTCCAGACAACTACAACTACCTCTCAGAAAATCTGGTAGCGCTGGGAATCTAACCTGGGTCCTCTGGATCTGTAGCCAGGAACTCTGACCACTAGACTACAGAGGCGGTCATGTATATATATATATATATACACACACACTGTTCCTCAAATATGCTTATTATCTTCCTTCTCTGTGCCTCTCCACTTTCTCCTTCATTTCCATAATGATTTTTTATTTGACATCTTCAGTTTTATATTGTGGAAGCAATTCTAATGTCATCCATTCTAATCTGTCTTCAGTGTAACTGAATTTCCTTGTGTTTCTTCTGCAAGATCTTTCCTAATATCCTGGTTTTGGATTTTATCCTTTCTTGTTCATTTATTAATGGTTTATGGAAACATGCTGAACAAATTGGCTCAGATGGGACTTATATTTGGGAGGTTCTCAATTTTAATCAGTGTTGGAACATAGACTGTTATGACAGGCTTTTTATGGTTTCCCTCATCCTTCCGAGCAAACACTGGAATGGTACCTTAAATTATTCTATGATTGCTACATTCCACATCCTTTCCAGTTAACTATTCACGGCCATTCTGTCACTCAGTGCTGTACATGTAGTCCTGACATACTGATTAGCACTGTTAAATAAACTGCAAATAAGGTAGGAAATCTATGGAAACATTGTCAACATAAAATCCATGAAAATCAACACAATTTCCTTGACTGAAGTTAATGTACATTTGTTCTGTCATGTAGTGTGATGACTTCCCTGTGAATGAGAAGGTGGCTGTTCAGCTAGCTGGGCTACAAGCACAAGTAGCACTAGGTGAACCCAAGGACAGTGATCGGCTAGAGTACTATTCTGATGTGGAAACTTACCTACCTCAACGAATATCTCGGAGTCGCAGTGAAGAACAATGGGTATTAACAATATAGTTAATGTAATGGTTCATAGCTTAAGCGGTTAGTTGCTGGCTTCCCATTGCGGCAGCCCAGGTTCGATCCTGGGTCTGGTCAAATGGGATTAATGGTAGACAGGCAGATTTTCTCTGAGTACTTCGGTTTCCCTTGCCAGTCTTCATTCCACCAATTGCTCCACAATCATCCTCACCTATCATCTGGGGCGGTACAATAGGCCAGAAGTGGCCGCAGTACAAGGGACTTAGTCCCACCCCACTAGCATAATTAATCTAATGGTTTGCTTTTTCAATGTGAACACCTGTCTGCTTAGTGCAGTTGAATGAGCAGCCAGTAATGTGGTATATTCTTTTAACATGAAATCTTATACCAGTGCTGTAGTGATAAGCGCTATATCCATATATTAAATGCAGAGCATTCAGGTGTAAATCCTGTAATCTGTTAATAGGTCAGTACGCAATGTTGTATATACAGTAAAAGTAGGATATAATTTGCAGGTACCTATCATCGCTCAAGCACATCGACAATATGGTGCCAGTCGGTCTGATCTCACTGCCAAAGTGCTGTATCTCTCATGTGTGATGCAGTACCCACTCTATGGGACCACCATGTTTCAAGTCACGTACCGTGGCTATTGGTCATACGGTGAGTAACACAAGAGTGTCTGTGCCAAGTGGTTAAATTTATTTTGGACATTAAGCGAACTTAATATGTCAAATGTTTAATAACATTTCAGTTGCTGCAGGGGTTCTAATTTCAGTTGGAAATTTATTTGTTGCTGTTGTCATCTATACAGTACCAGTGCCTTTGCAGAGGATGGGCAATTTTAGTGTAGTGGCTAGAATAGCAGAGTTTCCAAGTTTCTAGTTCTTGTTTGTGTCTTCTGTCAATTTTCTTATAAGCCATTCTAGTATGAAACTGTATTTTAAAAATAAAGATAACAGCTGAATAGAGACATGTTTCCAGTTTAATAGTGTTTTAAATTTTTCTGCCACTTTGCATGGATGGAGTCTTTATCCACAGTCATAATAAAGATGATTAAATGAAGAATGTCACTCACAAAGAAGATATCACAGTTCATACATGTATGCAGATCTCCCATCTCTGATGCAGGAATATTGTGAACTCCATTTTCAGTCTTGGTGACAAATTTACATCTGGTCTCTCATTAAAGTAAGTTCGTGGGTGTGTTTCACAAGATTGCATGTGAAATATATCAATCCATCAATTCATACACACTTAAGAATTACATTCTGTATGAACTCATTTTGATTATATTTAGTGTCACAAATCATTATTACATTTTATGTCCAAGTGTAACTTAATCAAAACTGAACAGCATGTGCAGTCACTACATGAAGGCTTTCATAGGTTTTTTAATATATTCCATTAACTACAGACCAATTCAGTGAAATATTTCAGGCTTGAATTGTACTACTCAGTGGCCCTGTGGACCAGAAATAACCTTAGCCTCCTTTGCAGCAGATTATTATTATTATTATTATTATTATTATTATTACTATTATTATTATTATTATTACTATTANTCTGCCTTAAACTGATCTTGATTTAAATTGTGTAATTTTTTTAAAATATCAGTTGATTCAGCATTTTAATTTTCTTTAATGCATTTATATTTTTGTGTAATTTTGGTTCATCACTATAACTGAGTTCCATATGTGTTTCATGTTTCCTTTGCTTCGGTTGTACAAATCTGCAAAAGTTCCAAGGCATTTTCTAACATTCTGTAACATGCTGCTTATTATGGTTAGCTCACAAAAAGTGAATGAGTGGGCAACATGGTCCAGAGTCAGTATGCCATTGTCGTGCTGCAGGTAACAGTCTGATACTGGGGGTGAACTCTGAGGGACTGATGCTGATCAAACCAGATGATAAGTTTGTCTTGTATGAGTACCGCTACCAGGACGTGGAATCAATCTTTCTGGACCCTAGTGACAGTTTCCTAACCATAAACTTGATGCGTCAGCAGCCTGACAATAGTCATCGTTGTTTCGTGTTTGAGACTGAGCAGAAGAATGAGATTGGCTCACTCATTGTGAGCTACTGTCCTGCGCTTGCTGCATGGATTACAGAGAATGAAGCACCGATCAGGAAGGTAAGGCTGTTAGATGCCTGTCTTTATTAGAGTAGAGTAAACTGCAATTTATTCAACATATATAAGGAATTGTGTGTGCTGTTACATGAATATGCTGGTTGCAGGAGAAGAACTGTTACAAAACCAAATTTTTACCCTTTACCAGTCTTTTAATATTTCTATTTTCTGTTTTAAAGTTGAAACAATGCATTTTCACTTAAGTTCTTGTATGGAAGTATTTTTAGGAGACATAGCAGATTTATGAGTGAACAATTTTAGATATACTGAAATACAATCACAAATTCAACTAAGCTGTACTGTAATCATGCATTACTGTAACTGTAACAGCACATGCATGAGGGAATATGACAAGCAATTCTGTTAGTGTTGGCTGGGAGAGTTAGTGTGTGGCAGATGAACATATGCATGTCACAACTTTGTTTTTTATGGGATGTTATAAAATGGTAAATTTTCTTTGATATTTTTGCCAGTTGCATGAGAATTCTGGGTTTTTGGATACTGAATAGCTGGAAGTTTAATTTACTTCACTAAATATTATCTGAAGAAATGTTTCTTGAATATGGTAATTCCCAGATATGTTATATAGAATCCTGAAAAGTGAATAACATTAGTATTTTTACTTGGAAATGATGTGGAAAATAAAACTGAAAAATAACATGTGCTATGAATTGAAATGTATTCACATATAAGTGCCTGGATTGAAGATCAGTCTACACATATGGTGGATATGATGTTCTCTCAGTGATGACAGTGAGAAGTACAGTCTTCTGGGTTATAGTGGATATAGGTCAGAGAAAGCCCGACATTTCAGAGGAACACGTAAGCTCCATTTCTATGGATGAAGAGTATACTGCTTGATTTTGCTGGTTTCTTGCTTTGCTTACTCATCAGCCCTGAAAATCAAGCCAATGTATTCATCAGAAATGCTGGGCTTTCTCCAAACTGCATTTGTTACAACCCAAGAGACCATATTGTTATAAATTTACACATAGTTGTAAATTATGGAAGGTTGTCAAGCTTGTATTTGAAAGTAATTAAAATTAAAGATTATTTTATTTCAAATATTATTTGACTCCTTGTTTAGCACTAGTATATTTCTTGAATTTTTTATGTTAAATTTAAGAGTTCTTGTTTCCATAGATTTGTACCATATTGGGATATTATTATCCTCAGAGATAGAATATTTACAAAAACATATTGGGCTCAAATGAGTTTTATACACATATAATATCCTAGTCAGACTGATATAAAGCATTTAGTAATTGTACAGTTTTACTTTCTTTGTAATTCACAGGTGAAGGCAATAACTAATGAAGATAGAATTCGCCTTTATCATAATCTGGTAAATTGCCGCCGAACTCTTGTGGATAGTGATACTTTAAGGAAGCCACAAGACACAGGTGGAGGGTTCTTGAGAAACACATTAAGAAGGTAAATACCATCTAGATACTTATATAAATGTTATTGTGGAAATTAATGTGCATATAAAAAGAATAAATGTCACTTCTATACTGAAGATGGAGACATAACATTCCTCCAAAATTATGGTAACTAACAATAAGACTGAGCAACGTTATAGCTCAGAAAACCAAATCTTAATTTGTAGCAGGAATCAAGTCTCATAAATGTTATAAACATATGTTGTAGCATGAAGGAAAAGAAAATGCTGGATTCAGCATTCGTACATACATTTGTCCAAGTTTTCTGATTTTGTAAATGTCATATGTATGAAAGGAATTTTAAATGAGTATTCACATTTAGACATATCATCTTAGTTGAAATGAAAATTTAGGGATGAAATATCTGCTTAGCCTCTGTTAATAAGTTGTGCTTCATATGTATCTCTGTGAGGTCATGGTGTTTAGTATGGACCATCTCACACCCATGCACATGTCCAGTAATTGAATAAGGTGTGTACATTCAGCATCATATATCCTATGTCAGAAGGAGGTAATTTGAGAATAATTCTTAGTTTGTCATCTTCTTAGGTTTATGAAGGAGAGGTTTGTGTTTTTCCTACTGTCAGTTGTGTCTTTATACAGGTTGATGGACAAACGATATCCGACCTCTTCTTTCCTCCCACAATCCTTCCTTTTTGATTCTTTGCCAGCTTTTTCCTCTCTTCTTGATGTCTTCCAGTATCTGATTGAACCATCTTTTTATGTGTCATTCCCCAGGTGCCTTTCCCTTAAATTCTAATTATAATGCACTTCTCACTATCTTCACTATGTCCATTCTTTTTGCATGTTAAAACCATTGTAATAGTTTATCTTATATCTCTGTTAACAAATGTTTACCTCCAACTCCCGTTCTAGGAATTTCATTTCTAATTTTATCCCTCCTTGTTTTCCTTCAGTACTTCCAAAAATTTAGTATTCATTGCTTCAATTTTACTTCTGTATCTCACTGTTAAGGGTCCATATTTCAGTCTTTGATGATGGTATAAGTTTAAAATATGCCTTATAGGTTGATGTTTTGTGTTGTTTTCGAATTTGTTCATTCCATAATATTGATTTTATAATGTGATAAAATTTAGAGCTATTTTGTATTCTTCTGTTCATCTTTCCTTCATTTTTCTCTTCTGAGTTTATTGTGCCTCAAAAATTAAAATATCATCCATCTCTTTAATAATTGTATCATTACCTTTTATTCTGATGATTTGTCTGTGTTTCTTGAAGTCCTCAACTGTGACCCAGTTTCTTCTCCAATCCACTGGTCATGTTGTCGCTCATCTCATTGATAGTAATTCAGAGTGGATTGTAATACCCTCCCTTTTCACATCCTGTATTCTTGTTCTGCCCTTTTCTGTGTTTTGTATTGCGGTAAATCCTTTTTACTTCATTGTAGAAATGTGCTTTTTCCTCTTATGTCCATTATATATTTGTACTTTAAAAGTCAATGTAATATTTTGTTGTGCACTTTCTCAGTAATTTTTTTTTTTCACAGAAGAACTTCTCCAGTGTGGAAAATGTTGAGACACATCCGTAGATGACCATAGATGTAGCCTTTATCTGTCTAATGTGTTTTTATGTTTTGTAATGGTGTAATTCTAATTAATTTTGCATTTCCTTTTCTTTTTTATTTAACAACTCCTAGTTGCTTTATTTTATTATGAATGATTTCTGTCAGTAGGGAATCAACATTTCTTTGGAAAACTAGAATTCCTTAGAAACAAACTAAAAAATATTGAAGTGACAACCATCAAGGGGCAGAGAAAGTCTCCACATTAGAGTCATGATCCCAGTAAAATTGTGTATCACACTGCTTGGCTATATAAATTCCAGTGAACAACATTTTTTCTGTTTTGTGGAAAAATTGAGTTAAAAATGTAGATATAAAAACAGAAAATCTCATAACTTAGCTAACTGTTTGTGATATTTATTTGACTAAATATTTTTTAATTTTTAAGTCAAATATTTTTCTGTCAACTGATACTAGGTTGAGTAAACATCGTTTGGAGAAACTCCGTCAGGAACACGGGTCAAGTACAGATCATGGAGAGACATACAGGGGCTTTCCACATGCATACTGGGCATTCAGTCGGCAGTCAATTCCCCAGAGCCTTAGCAAGATGCCAGAGGTGGATGAGCAGATGTCCTTGCAGGTTTTCCAAAGTATTCTCACTTACGCTGGCCTTGGGCAAGATGGTAAGATAAGACTTTAAGCCTATAAGTTACACATAAATATAACAGCAGATGTTATTACTGAAAATGATTGTACAGAACTAAGGGAGTATTCTGTTATAGATATAGAGGAACATTTTTAATAATCGTTGATTTTTTGGGGGGGGGGTGTTGTATAGCACTGAAGATCATGGATTCTGCATTCAACAACTAATTTTTCAGTGGTCAGAAAAATTATTTATTTATTTCTTGTTTCATTTAAGTTACATGTCCAGCCAATCTTGCTTTCCTTATCTTCTCTGCTGCATTAGTTGTCAATATGTTTTTAACAGAGCACTTAAACCAGCCTCCGGTTGTTAATTTTAGTACCTTTTACATTATCCATAATTAGGATTGTTCTACTAAAACCTCAACACTTCAGAAGTTGTTGTGCTTCCTTCTACAGGCAGATAGGGAAACCTGTTAAGGTGGGTCTGTTTGAAAGAGCCAGTATCAGTCACTGGACCACTAGCTCATTCCAATGATGTCATTAATTTAGGTCCCTCCATGTTCCTGAAGATAGAAGCAGAATTAGCTCCTGAAACATTGCATTTTTAGTAAACAGTCTAGATGATAGATTATGGTCATGCTATTGAAATTAGCCATTATGCACCTTTGTAAAAATTGGTCATGGGTTTTTAACCACACATCCATTTTATGTAAGTTATCAAAGACCACAGTGCAAGGTTATTCTGGTAACATGATGGTTGCTTAGGTGATCAAAAATTCACTATCATCTGTGGAACCTAAACATTCATTGTCATGTTGGATTTGAAGTTCACACTGCATTGACTATGAAGGGTATGGTCTGCAGCTTGGAGAAAGCCTAACGTTTTTCACTCAGGTTGCCACCTGCTTCCGCTGGTTTCTTGCTTGGCTTATTTCTTGACCCTAAAGACGGAGATGATATGCTCCTCTGAAACATCGGCTTCGTCTGAACTACACGGGAGGTTTAGCTCTTCTCTATTAATTGTCAGTTGAATTCAGTCCACACCCTTGCACATTATTTCATTTAAAATTCATATATTATTATTCTATTCATGCCTACTTCTTCCAGGTGGTTGGTTCCCCCTAAGTTTTCTGACATTGAACCAGCTTGTAGGTGAATTACATAATTAAATTAAATTGAATATTTTTTTGAACAGGTGATGCAATTCGCAGAGTAGAGGATGAACATGTGAACTTGATCCAGTCCATTATGGAACGATGCATGCGCAAAGAAGCTCTGCTTAATGAACTCTACCTGCAGCTTGTGAAGCAAACAACTGATCATCCAGACCCAAACTCCAGGGTGAATCTACGACATTGGGCACTACTCTCATTGGCTTGTTCTGTGATTCTTCCACCTCAAAAGACTGTTCGCAAATACCTCATTGCACATCTGAAACGTTGTGCCAGTGACTATGTCACTGAGGAAGGCAAATATGCCCGATTTGCAGAAAAGGTTTGTGGAGACAACTGTGTATCTTCGTTAGAAGCATTATATTTGAAGTTAAAGAACACAATAAAATCTCACTACTATTTAGATATATGCTCCAAAATATCTTGTAGATATTTGTTCTAAGATATCTCATAGGGCAACAATAACAACAAGTCAAAATACATTTTAAGTCATTTAAAATTAAATACTTGTAAATAATTATTTTTCACTTTTAGTGCTTATTTAAGACCCAAGGCACACGGCGACGCCAGTGGCCACCATCACGCGAGGAAATAATGTGCACCATTAACAGGCGGCCCATCTATGCGAGGTTTCATTTCATGGATGGACAGTACCATGCTGTTGAGTTTCACCCATCAGCTGCTGCTAAAGATGTCATGGAGATAGTAAAGAACAAGATAGGCCTTCGTGAGACAGCCATGGGTAAGTTCTTATATTTAAGCTTCACTGTCATGTTTCTGATATTTGAAATTACTATAAATTATGACAACACCATTTGTAGCCATTAATACTGAGCTGTTATGCAGATTACATCTTTCAGCTGAATTTTACAATTATATTTTAATTTCTTCAAATTCTGATATTGTTGCCGTATCATAAGGCGAAGCTCACTCTATTCTGAACTGTGATGCCATGTAGTCTGGGATATAGCTACCAGTGTTTCAGAGGGATCTGCTTCTCCAATCTCTGAAGATTGAAGCAGCAAACTCCTCTCAAACTTGATACCCCCGTACCATTACATGACATCAGTAAGCAAGTTGGTCTAGTGGGTGGTCTAGACTTCAGGAGTGTTTCGTTCACATCTGAACTGTGACACTAGTTATCTTCACTTGAGTTTTTTGTGTTTTCTTCAGTCCCTCCAGGCTGGGAGAATACCTTCATTAGGCCATGACTGCTTCCTTTGAAGTCCTTCCTAATTTACTTTTAATTAATTATCCTGCTATTCAGTGCTGTATAGTCTACATGTTGAGAGCATCATGAAGTAAATCACAAAAAGAAAACATGCATGGCATCACATTCAATTGTACAGTGATCTTCATATTCACCTCTGTGAATACATAAAACTTGCCTGGTGTAAGATATTTTTGTTATGAGAAAATCTCTCCATATCTAAGGTTACTTTATAGACAGTGCCCTGCAACATTTTACCAATACTACATTTAAGGTGAAGTTACTTATATAGGGCATGTAATGATTGTCATTTTTTTATTGCTAGTGGGGTGGGACTAAGTTCCTTGTACTGTGGCCAATTCTGGCCTATTGTACCAGCCCCAGATGATAGGTGAGGGTGATTGTGGAGCAATTGGTGGAATGAACATTGGCAGGGGAAACCTGCCCCAGCGCCACTTTGTCCACCACAAATCCCACTTGACCAGACCCAGGATCGAACCCGGGCTGCCACGGTGGAAAGCCAGTGACTGACCACTTGAGCTATGGTGCGGCTGATAATGATTGTTAGTTTTAACCAAAATTCATACTGTACTACACAGTACAACACAAGTATGCTTTTGTTTATATTATTCTTGTCTTTCAGGTTATGCTATTTATGAAGTTCTGGGCAATTCAGAGCGCAGTCTTGTGCCAGAGGAGAAGGTGGCAGATGTGATGTCAAAATGGGAACGATACCGTTCAGCAACTGCTGCAGCAAACCAAGCAACTGGTACTGCAACCTGCCGTCGCCAGCATCACCTCTTCCTCTTCAAGAAACATCTGTTTCTAGACCAATACATGGATCTGGATGATCCAGTGGAGAAGGAACTGCTTTATCATCAAGTTCTGCATAGTCTTAGATCAGACAGGTTTCCTGTTACAGAAAATGAGGCAGTAAGTCTAAAGTAGCTTGTGTCATTGGGTCTGAGTCTATGAACTAGAGTGCCAAGATACAAACATGAAATTTCAAGTCATATTTCTATAGTTTAATAGTGATTAATGTGTTTAGCTTACTTTCCATGTTCAATACACAAGATTCTGATTGGCTTTCTCACATTCTACTTCCCCGATATCCAGTCTGATATTTTCCTTTTATATTCTTCTCACTCTTTTAAGTGGCTGCTGTCCAGAATGTATTCCCACCAAAATTCCAAATACATTTCATATTTCCCTCACTGAGTTGACCCCAAATATTGTTATAAATGGGGTAGTTGCAGTGACAAGTCTGATACACTCCAATATGGGACAAGTATGTGTCCTCATAGACCATTCCAGGATAGTTCTACATGCTTATGAAGTTCAGACATGAGCAATGCCATTAATCAGAAGACAGCTGGTGGTGCTGTCTTTCTATATATGCCATATCTGTTTTGTAAAATACATTTTCTATGGTTTTATTTCTCCATGATAAAAAACAAGGTAAAGGTAAAGCACTCCTATGCCTATTTGTATTATATAATATATATTCTGCAAAACTGCCTTTCATATATGTACATTTCCCTTATTTTAGTTTTTAGAAATAATTCTAGATGACAGGATGTTTTTATTTGATTGCAAAATAAATATTTAGCAATATGCACTCAAGAAATGTACAGAAATGCATGTAGGTCTGCATTGAAAGCATACATTTTTTTGTCAATTCTATCCGGAATTGTAGTATATATCAATAAACTTCAGTGAAACTCCAAAATTTCAAATTTCATGAAAATCCACTGTGTAGTTCTCAAGTTCTTCTATGGATACAGACAAATAGGGCAGATTCAACAGGCACTCTGCAGGGTTGCAAATGCACCTAAAAGCACACAAAAATGTGATAATTTAGCTGAAAGAATGAACAGGACTTAGGAAATTCAGCAACTTTCTGGGAGAGGGGACATAATAAGATTATCTCCTCAGTCCTCCAGACAGCTTCCTTGTCTTCTTCATTTGAAAGAAAAGAAAAGGAAATTATTAGTAACTTTCATTTTTTGGATTATTAATAACATTTGTTTGTATTTAAGTGACCATATCACATATGCACTTCTCGACACATTTACTGTGGCAATGGAGCAAGCCACTGAAAGAGAGGACAATTCCCATATACATTTTGGTCACCTGGCAGCCACATTGAAACATCCTGATGTTGCAGATGATGCTGACAGCTCTACAGGCTCAGTTGGAACTGGGAGACTGTGATAATGTATTGGAGGACTACCGACCTGTGGCTAGCCATTGTTTGCCACCAAGATTTGTACCTAACATACCGCATGAAGGCGTAGCACTGCACCATCAGAGCCTGCGTGGAATGACGCCAGCTGAAGCAAAGAAAGCTTTCTTGAATCTCATTCAGAGTTGGCCACTCCACAGGGCTACCATATATGATGTAATGGTAAGACAACGTTTATTGATGTATATTTGTATTTCACAGTGATCATTAGTTTTTCACTTCTTTTTGAATTTCTGTATGCTTTTATAATAACACTACTAAACTGAGAGATTTGTGAATGTTATTATTGAGTATGGACAAGCATATTCTCTTCAATGATCTCTGAAATAAGGTGTGCATGTAGTTTATTTGTAAATTTGTACACAAGTGGAAATATATACTTCATTATCCAGTTCCCTTTACAAAGTTATACTCCTCCATGGCTGTGATATTAATTTATTGCTGTTGTAAACCTTATTCCAGGATAGTCAAAATTTATTGCCTCATATCTGTAAATGTGCTATGATGTTCATATAAATCTTGTATATGCTATTTCTCTAAAATATGTTGAACACTTTTACTTCAACAGTCTTTTTCATATACCATTTAAGTTCCTGAATCCTATAACCAGTCATATGACATAATCAATAAGAAGGTCTTCTTCTTCTTCTTCTCCTCCTCCTCCTCCTCCTCCTCCTTCTTCTCCTTCTTCTCCTTCTTCTTCATCTTCTCCTCTTCCTCCTCTTCTTCTTCTTCTTCTTCTTCTTCTTCTTCTTCTTCTAGCATTTTGCAGTTTTATGTGGGTCATCTATCATAAAAGCCTCTCCATCTGTCTTTGCCTTTGCAAAGCTGCTGCTTGTCCTCACTTTACTCCTATTTTCTTTCTTTCCCTGAAAATGGTTTCTCTTTTAGAGCCTTAAGTTACCATTTTCAAGGCCTCTCTTAATCCCCATTGCAACTGACCACCCTTCCTGTATAACCTACCCATATTTTAACTTGGACTGACTTCTGCGATGAAGTTGGAGGCAGCAGATTCACCCCAACGTAGATAACACCTGTGAAACTACACTGTGGTATAACCCATAAGACCACAATCTTAATTTTGACTTTATGAAAACTTCAGATGCTGGCTTTTGTTTCAGCAATCTTTTACGTCCAATTGGCCGCGTGTGCTGTGGCTTGCAGTTGATCAGAATGGCTTGCATCTCTTGGAGCATCGGTCTCGGAATGCCCTGTGCATGTATGAGTATGATAGCATTCTGAGCTACAGTCCTGCTCTAAACTGCCTCATGATTATCACCGGCAGTGAGAAGAAACAGAGCAAAGTCATCCTCACAACATCCCAAGTATGTCCTTTTTCCTAGAGGATTTTATAAATGATAATAAAATCATGGTGTAGCTATTTTGTATGTAATTGCATCCTCAAGTTAGGCTAAATATTAGTACAGGATGAGTTAAATTCTTTTGTTATGTATATGGATTATTTTAGATGTTTGATATTCAATGTTCTTTATCAGCATCATGGTTTCTTCCAGGCATTTCAGATTGCCAATTTGATTCGGGAGTATACTGAAGTGCTCCAGCAGTCCCCTCAGCAAGTGAGACGCAGAGATAACAATGCAAAAAAGCGAAGTGGTAACACTAGTCGACCAGTTAGCATCTTACACAAACCTGTGCCTGTCATAGATTCTGTTGCAAGTTAAAGACAATCTGGAAAGTTCTTTAAGTTAAAATTGCAAAATTCTTCACAAAAGAGGCAAACTAAAATAGTTAGCTAGACAGTTCTCTACAGACATGTCCCATGTTCTTGGATGTGTCATTGGAATTGAAGTTGGACACAATCTTGAGGTACAATTAAGTGATGGTTGTCAGGTACGTACAGTGTCTTCTTTATTGAGACCAAGCTGATGTTTGTCAAATGATTACAATTCAGAGGATTGCCAGAATGACTACTCGATCCTCAGAAGTGTAATGAAGATGCTTTGTTCATGCAATTTAAAGTGTCTGACAGCATTATGTGCAATTTGCCTAGTCATTGTATATGCATGTATGGTACTGCGTGTCTCTCTCTGCTGCTTGTATATCCTCGCTGTGCGATGTGGTACTTGCAGCTACACATATGACTAAGTTGTGACAAATCTTATTTTATCACTGTTGGATTTGAGGTTCTTACAGTGGTGACCATGAGGAGTACTGTCTTCTGGGATTTGATGCTGTGTGGTCTCGTAGTTCACCATTGTTTCAGGGGAAAATCAATGAACTTCTACCAGACTTGATGTCACATTCCACAATATGGTGTTCTTTTTTTTTCTATCATTGATTGTGAAAGCTGAAAAGATGAAGCATTGACATCAGTATGTATGCGTTTAATATGAGTTGTTACAAATTGCTAATTATTGGTATACAGCTTCATTCCTTCTCATTCCAGACTTTTTTATATAAATATATATGAATATACATTGTCATGCAGTGTAACCAATGATAGTACAGACAACAATTTAGTTTGTTTAATAATAATCAAAATCATGTCCTATCCACACGGTTAAGTTTGAAGATGATGCTTGCCTCTTCATGAAAAATGATTCTCCAGCAGTTCAGAGAGGGAGCATGTTTTGTTAAAGTCAAAATGTAAATAGAGGATGTGAAATGTGAGTGCAGTGTACAAATACAGCAAGAAACTATTGGTGTGTTCCTTATTAAAATTTCTAGGATGTACCTAGCAATTTTACTGAATGATGTTCGATGCTAATACAAAACAAACATATGACTGTGAATCAGTATACAGTATTTATACATAATTATCAGTATACAGTATTTATATATAATTATCAGTATACAGTATTTATATATAATTATTATGTAGACTAGTTCTAAGCCTCCTGTATGTAAATATAAGTCATCGTGCTTTAGAGCAGAAGAATGTTAAAATAGGGATGAATGGCATAAATATTTAATTCCAGCGGTATGTAGTGTATTAAGTCCATTTTTTAATCATTCTTTGGATTTCTTATAAATATATGTTCAATTCCTTCTTTCTACTTTCCACATATGATTTTAATTCTGTAACTAAACACTGCTTTTCAAGCATACACAGATTGCTATATACAGGTACATGTTACATTCTTTCTTGTGTGTGTTACCTATGAATATAACTCCACATGCTGAAGGAAAAACCCAGGACCAAAAGTTCTTCAGTTAATATTTTCACTAAAGGAATACCAGAAGGTGAGAAAATTATCTTTCTGAATGAAAATACTTATGTGCACAAAGTAAGGAACTAATTTAAAGATCAATTTTGTATGTAAACTTCAGTATTAAAATATCTGTAAGAATGCGCATATATGTATGTCCTTGGAGGTTAGTTAAACCAAGATATCCACATGGACTCACTGTTATATTCACTTGGAAAAGCATGTCCATTTCTCTGCAGCCTCTTTATGAACAGCTATACTTGCTAATGTTACTGAATTGTTAGCAACTAGGTTTATATATATTGCCATTTTTAAAATGCTATATGTAGCAAAGACTGAGAATGCAGATCTTATTGTTTATGCACCAGTGTTTCTATAATAGTTACCAGCCAGGGCATGCAGAAGCCAATGATTGTCTGAGTTATGAGCTAAATCATATCCCATGTCTTCAGTTGACTGTGACATTTTTGGCCTACAGTCTGAAATTGACTGGGGTATGTGTAAAGTATGATTTTTAAATCATGCAGAATTAAACTTCTTAATATTTTCTTCCATGATTGTGGGTAAATTAAGTTCTATAGTCAATAGTGCACTTGTTTGGCAAGCACAGAGATGTTTTTTTTGTGTTATGTATTTGACATATTCTTAGTATCATCATGCAGGTTTATTTGAATTATCTGGTAACTTAATATGACATTAAACATAACACATAAAGATTTGTTTCCTTTAATCCCTTTATAAGATATCAAGTGATTAGTTTTAGTCGTTTAGTCAGTGGCATGCATTGCCTTGGTAAGATCAATTTTGGGCACTTTTTAATCATTTTGATTATTTATTTAAGCTCTTGGTTTCACCAAACAAAAATTATGTATGAATGTACAATGTCACACACAGTTATGCTGACCTTATTAACACTGGAAGTTTTCTGATAGAGAAAGAAGGAGCCCATAAATTATGTAATTTACAGGATTGCAGTTTCAGTGTTAAATATTTCCATTCTTCTCTTGCCATTATGAGATCAGTCAGACCAAGCAGGTATACCATGTCCCATCTTTAGACAAATAGCATTTACTTCTAATCAGAAGAGGGGACAAGTAGTATGGAAGATTTGAGGTTTTCACGCTGGTGATTATGAAGAATGCTGTCTTCTGGGATGTGGGGCCATGTAGATACTGTGTAAACTGACGTTTCGGAGGAATGTATCACCTCCATCTTCAGGTTATAAAAATCTGTGAATGAGGAACCAGTGTGAGCAGATGGTCCCAGACTCAGTCCTCACTCGTGGATTTTTATACCCTGAAGATGGAGGCGATACATTCCTCCAAAACACCTGTTTACGTGATATCTATGTGGTGCCACATCCCAGAAGATGGCATTCTTCAAGTAGTATGGAGTCCAGTCTTCTGGGTTATGACACCGTGTGTTCTTGTAGGTGGTTAATGTTTTGGAGGAATATGTTATCTCTGTCTTCAGGGTGACAGTGTATTGTAAAAAAAAAAGAGTAAAGCTATCCCTGTAACAGACCTCGGAGGCCCATAGGGTTGTGAGAAGTTGAGGGTCCCACATAATCTAGACAATTGGCTCACAGATGGCGGTAAGGTTGTCAGCCTTACACACTGGCCACACTTTACCCCCCAGGAAAGTTCCTGGTACTCATTTCTGTTAGAGACTTAGTCGATCCCAGGGCCATAGTGTGGCTGGAAGGAGTAGGTCAATTGAAAAAATCCAATGACCTCATCGGGACTTGAACCTGCAACCTTCTGGCTTGTAGCATAGTGCCTCAACCAACTATGTTACCGCGTGCCCCCGAAAGTGTATTTTTGGGTGAGGAATCAGTTGGTTTGTACAGATAGGTTGCAAGAATGATTGTCACTCAGGTCCACAGAAGGGAGGGGGGGAGAACTTACTTTGGGCCTTAAGGAATCACCGCCATGAAAACCTGAGAACTATGTGACTAGTACTGGCTAGGGTATGATCAGTGGAGGTGAATTCAGATACTGCCAGTTTTTCTGCAAGAAATGGTGTTCAGTAGTATACGAGGGGGTACCCAAAAGAAACCGAACTTATTTTTTTTAAACTTATTTATTCAAATTTTAAGCACAAACCTTCAATCCCCTTCAAAGTACTCTCCACTTACACTAATACGCTTGTCTAGTCTTTTATTCCATTTTTCAAAACATTGTCTAAATTCACCTTTTGAGATGCTTGACAGCGCCTCCATCGTTTTTTCCTTTCATGTCTCTTTTCATTCGAAGAAACAAAAAAAAGTCGCACGGGGCAAGGTCGGGTGAGTATGGAGGGGGAGGCACGGGGCTTACC